ACTAAACCGGCCACTATTTTTGTTGAACCTTGTCCATGGAAGGTCCCTGCAAAATTTCATTGAAATTGGTTCAGGGGTTTTGGAGAAGAAGATTTTTGAAAATTTAGTCAATTTGACCCTTTTTGGCCCCACCCCTCAGGCCCCTGGGGGCTTGGAACTAAACCGGCCACTATTTTTGTTGAACCTTGTCCATGGAAGGTCCCTGCAAAATTTCATTGAAATTGGTTCAGGGGTTTTGGAGAAGAAGATTTTTGAAAATTTAGTCAATTTGACCCTTTTTGGCCCCACCCCTCAGGCCCCTGGGGGCTTGGAACTAAACCGGCCACTATTTTTGTTGACCTTTGTCCATGGAAGGTCCCTGCAAAATTTCATTGAAATTGGTTCAGGGGTTTTGGAGAAGAAGTCGAAAATGTAAATTGTGTAAGGATGCACGACGACGGACAAAAGGCGATCGCAATAGGTCACTTGAGACTTTGTCTCAGGTGACCTAATAAATGTTATAAACAGCATACAATATACATGTAAATGTTATAAATAGCATACAATATAAATGTTATAAATAGCATACAATATAAATGAAATCTAATATCAAAGGATTGCTGTAGGACTGAGTTAACATGTTGCCATTCACATGTGGAATATCCTAATGAGTATAAGTACTAATGAAGAAATCATACCTCCTTAAATACAGCCTCCCTACTGGAATGTCTTAAGTCTTGCCACATCTGCTTTCCAGTCAACATCTCTGCATACAGACAACCAGCACCCCACACGTCTGACCTCTCATCTAGGGCAAGGTCACAGTCACAGGTCACAATCTAGAACAGTAGATATATATATATACAGTATAGTACAGGCCTAACAAATCTAATCTCTCATCTAGGAAGAAGTCACTGTCACAGGTCATAATCTAAAACAGTAAATATATGTGCAGTACAGTACAGGCCTAACAAATCTAATCTCTCATCTCTCATCTAGGTAGAGGTGACTGTCACAGGTCACAATCTAGAACAGTAGATATATGTACAGTACAGTACAGGCCTAACAAATCTTATCACTCATTTAGGTATAGGTCACTGTCAAAGGTCACAATCTAGAACAGTAGATATATGTACAGTATAGTACAGGCCTAACAAATCTTATCACTCATTTAGGTATAGGTCACTGCAAAGGTCACAATCTAGAACAGTAGATATATGTACAGTACAGTACAGGCCTAACAAATAACTCTCTCATCTAGGTATAGGTCACTGTCACAGGTCACAATCTAGAACAGTAGATATATGTGCGGTACAGTACAGGCCTAAAAAATCTTATCACTCATTTAGGTATAGGTCACTGTCACAGGTCACAATCTAGAACAGTAGATATATGTGCGGTACAGTACAGGCCTAAAAAATCTTATCACTCATTTAGGTATAGGTCACTGTCACAGGTCACAATCTAGAACAGTAGATATATGTACAGTACAGTACAGGCCTAACAAATCTGCTCTCTCATCTAGGTAGATGTTACTGTCACAGGTCACAATCTAGAACAGTAGATATATGTACAGAACAGTACAGGCCTAACAAATATCTCTCTCATCTAGGTAGAGGTCACTGTCACAATCTAGAACAGTAGATATATGTACAGTACAGTACAGGCCTAACAAATCTTATCACTCATTTAGGTATAGGTCACTGTCACAGGTCACAATCTAGAACAGTAGATATATGTACAGTACCGTACAGGCCTAACAAATCTGCTCTCTCATCTAGGTAGAGGTCACTGTCACAGGTCACAATCTAGAACAGTAGATATATGTACAGAACAGTACAGGCCTAACAAATATCTCTCTCATCTAGGTAGAGGTCACTGTCACAGGTCACAATCTAGAACAGTAGATATATGTACAGTACAGTACAGGGCTAACAAATCTGACCTCTCATCTAGGTAGAGGTCACAGTCACAGGTCACAATCTAGAACAGTAGATATATGTACAGTATAGTACAGGCCTAACAAATCTGACCTCTCATCAAGGTAGAGGTCACTGTCACTAGTCACAATCTAGAACAGTAGATATATGTACAGTACAGTACAGGCCTAACAAATCTGATCTCTCATCTATGTATAGGTCACTGTCACTGTCATTGGATTGAAATTTACATCCCATAGTTTAGCCCATTCACTAATATTTTTTAAATCATCTGTAGGAAGTTGTGCAGACTGATCAGGATTGTTATCAACAGTGACGTATAGGGAGGTATCATCAGCAAAGTGTTTTACTTTACTTGAGACAAGATCAGTAATGTCATTTATATATAATAAAAATAATAGTGGACCCAGAACTGATCCCTGTGACTCTTGCATTAACAGTTAAGTATGGGGAATAGAAACCTTCAGTACTTACTCATTGATTCCTATCAGAAAGGTAATTATGGATCCAAGATAATAATTGACCTTTGATTCCATAATTACTTAATTTTTTAACAAGACCTGTATGCCAAACCCTATCAAATACCTTGCTTATATCACAAAATACAAACCTAACTTCTTTACCTGTGTCTAAATTTTTTGATATTTCATGATAAATAGATAATAGTTGGTTTACAGTGGAGTCACCTGGTCTAAAGCCGGACTGATTGTTCGATAAAATGTTATTAGATATAAGATAGTTGTATAGGTATTTAAATAAAATCTTTTCAATAAGTTTACAAATACAAGAGGTAATAGAAATTGGTCTATAGTTAGCAGTATTACTCCTAGAGCCACTGCCTTTGAAAATAGCATTAACATTGGTCATTTTCCAGGAATTTGGCAGAAGACTAGAGTCTAAAGTTTTGTTAAATAATAGTTTAAGTGGCAGAATAAGAGATGGTGTTAACTTTTTAACAACTTTAGGAACTAAGCCATCAGGTCCAGATG